TACAGTCCAAGGTTCTTGCCTTAGTGGCATAAGTATAACAGCGACAACAATAAATTAGAACCTAGATTTATCATCTTCCACTGGTATAGTCTTTTTTTTTTTTTGCAAGACCAATGATTTATTCATTACAAATACCATTTTTCAACAACATAAAAGGCAACTTTACACATGGACCTCACCAGATGGAATACACAGGAATCAAACTGACTACATCTGTAGGAAGAGACAGTGGAGATATGCAATATCATCAGTCAAAACAAGGGTAGAAGCCATCTGTAAAACACACCATCAATTGTTCATATGCAAATTTAGGCTGAAACTGAAGAAAATTAAAACAAGTCCATGACAGCCAAAATATGATCTTTAATATATACCACCTGAATATAAAGACCATCACAACAGAGCTGATAAGACCAGAAGAGTTGTGGGAAGGTATCAAGAATATCATATAAGAAGAAAGCAAAAGGTCATTAAAAAGATGGAAAAGAAAGAAAAGACCAAAATGGATATCAGAAGAGACTGAAACTTGTTTTCCAGCATGTTGTTGTTGTTATATGCCATCGAGTTGGTACCAAATCATAGTGACGGTTTGTACAACAGAATAAAACACTTCCCAGTCCTCCACCAACCTCACAATTGTTGCTACACTTCAGCATATACACAAACAAAAAAAAGATCAAAATGTGAAGCTATTGTTTCTCAACATACCTGACATCTAGATGTGTACATTTCTGAAGGTGGTGTTGCCATCTCTCAAACCCTTCCAGGAAGAATTCTGCCCTCTTTGATCTTTTTATGATACATAATTTGATAAACGAATGTGATCTGCTGAATCAATTATGTTGCGAAGGTCCCTGTTATCCTTCTTTTTTGTCCTTATACTCTGATATAGACCAAGAGAAGTATATTTATATCTCCCAATAATTAACAAAACTTTCTCTTTTTCTCCTAATAGCTCTTGTAAGTTTTGGATGTTATCAACATTATGTTATTTTCTGTGAAGATAATCACAATTTTTACATTCTTTACTGCATAGTTTGACATTATAGGCAACTTTGTCTTAATTTTTCTTGCTCTGAAATCAATCTTACCTGATATCAAGATTTAAACCTTACTTTAATTTTTTTTCCCCGCCTGCTCAGGAAGGTATGTGTGAAATCCCAAACTTGCAGCTGGTACCCATATGACCTAGCTTGGATGGCTACGGATGAGCTGACCAGAACTCGACCAGATGAAGATAAAGATGTTTGACATTGTGAGCAAGTATAAATTGCTACAATTTGATGAACTGGACTTTTGAGTATAGATGCAAACAGCTAAAATTCCAACCAGAATAGAAGATTTGTATCAAGGAATATGCTTGTCTTCTCAGCATACTGGGTTAATGTAGTTGTTAAGTGCCATCGAGTTGTTCCCGAGTCACAGCAACCCTATACAGGGTTTCCAAGGAGCAGCTGGTGGTTCAAACCAACCTTGCAACAATGGCTATCAAAAATTGGGGCTATATTCATGGATGTGCTTAGTTTCAGAATGCGGTAGGTAAGGTAGAATTACCCACTGAATAGTTTTCCTCTTTTCCAAATGAGTCTGATGAAAGGGGTTGGAGATGATGATGATAGGGTTCTTGTTGTTGTTTTAAATAATGTTGTTGTTGTTGTTATGTGCCATCGAGTCGGTTCCGACCCATAGCGACCCTGTACAGGGTTTCTGAGGGTGTAAATCTTTACGGGAGTAGAAAGCCTCATCTTTCTCCCGCGGAGCAGCTGGTAGTTTCGAACCGCTGACCTTAAGGTTTGCAGCCCAATTTGTAATATTTAAACATATAAATCTGGATTGCTCTCAAAAAAACTGTTCGATAACAATGCAAAAAAAAAAGTCTATTTTTTGTTTTGTTTTGTTTTGTGGGGGAGGAGGATATTGTTAGGTGCCATCAAGTCTATTTTGACCCACTGCAACTCCATGTGACAAAGTAGAACTGTACCATAAGGTTTTCTTAGCTATAATCTTTACAGAACTAGATTGCTAAATCTTTCTCCTGATGTCAGACAGAAATAAATAAAGCAGAGATAAATTGCAAAACTGAACCTTTGTCTTGTTTTACTATCCTTTTAAATAATTTTGATTTGAATATACACATCTTGAACCCCCTCTTAAAAATTGTTCAGTTACAATGCAAAAAAAATCTGTATTTTGGGGGAAAAATATTGGTAAAAGTGTTTTTTTTTTTTTTTAAGTATTATCATCTTTGACAGAAGCTTACTGGAAAGTCCTTATCTTGTTCATTTATCTGAACAGCAAAATTGTCTGGAAATATTCCATCTTTACCATTAACTTCTTTACCACCAGCCAGCTTCTCCAGTCTCCTTACTTATCAAATGGATTAGTTCTCCTTCTTTAAAACTAAGTTCATCTTCATTAGCACCCTCATAGGCAAATAATGTTCTGCACTATTCACTCACTTTATTTTTGCCTTTAGAGTCTGTTTTTGTTACCTCGGCACTCTGAGTTTTGGATCCTACTGATTGTATGAGAAACAGGCTTTTCCATTTTCTTATCTTCTGTTTCATCACTGGATGTTCTTGTCCTTAGTTTTACGAGCCTTCTTTAAAAATATCTCCAAATCCAATTCCTCAAATTTTCTTTGGCTGTGCAATTGGTCCAAGCAAAGTTTCACTCCCATTCCCCAGGGAGGGTAAGGGTGAAGTAGGCCCAGTCAAAACTATTTCTGAATCATCCTGGGTTTCATGAGTATTGACATTATCTGTTACCTCTAATTCTTTCACAAAATCTGAGGGAAACAGTCCCAACTTGTTATTCAGAGTTCTGCTCCACCAGCCTTCTTCAACCTCTTCATTAATATCAATAATACCTCCCACTTTCAGCTACAGCTCATCCTCATTTTGTAGAATGTACTCAAAGAAAACTTGACACTGATGATGATTCTTGGTCTTTTTAATGTTTTTTGTTTGTGGATGTGGCTGAATTCCTCCAGCTGGAAGTTCATAGGTGCTTATTCGTTGTACACGACTTGCCACATTCCCATGCCTTTCGCGTTTGATGGGTAAATTGTCATCCTTGGATTCTGTCTCTCTCTTAATTTCCTTTAACAAAATTGTGAGGAAACATTCTTCTTCTCCCATTTAGCTCCCCTTCCAGCCATGCTTCCTCCTGTAGTTTTTTTTCATTCTTGATTATTTCTCCAACTCAGATAGTTAATTCATCATCATGTATAGCATCATAGTCATACTCCATGATACAGTCAACCATGCTTGGGCCTCCCCCGGGGAGAAGCCTGGTGCCACTGCTCCTCTGATGATAGGGTTTTATGATTCAATTGTGAGAAATTGTTAGCAGAACTGATTGTCATTGTTACAACTGCAATTGTAAAAGATGTGTAACTAAAAGAGGGGAGCAATTAATCTTTCATTTAAGCAACAGACAATCCAGGACCATCAAGAAGGAAGAGCATGAATGGGGGAGTGATATCCTTACCTCGAAAAGCATCAACAGCAGAGACAGTAGCAGATGTGGTGGCATGGGGAGTCAGAGCAGATGCAGATTCTAGGCCCATTGAATGAGTAAGGCTGTGTACTGGGAGGCATGAGGCTGGCTTGCAGAATGTGCCCTTTGGACATGTAAATGAATATATATTTTGTTTTGTTTTGTATGTATGCATCAAATGTTTTTGCTTTGTTCATTTATGAAATATAAGACGTAAATGGGGAACCACAGGGAGGAAGTGGGATAACTGTTGTGGCAGGGAGGGGATTTAATCATTAAGATGAAACAAAGTATATGATTTGTTGACTGTAAAGCTGATGTCTATAAACCTTCACTCAATTCACAATAAAACATTAAGGAAAAAAAAAAAAGAATACACTGCTAAATGAAAAGAAAAAAATAAAGGCTGATTCTTACAGCAAAAATATATATTTTTTTTACCTGACATACCTTTATCTGTCTTTCCATTTTTCTTCTTTCTAAAGTCATATACGAGTGTGTGTGTCTTCAAGACTGCATAAAATGCTTTGTAAACTAATATGAACACTTTTTTACATTAAATAAGTATTTTTTGCTTACTTTTATTGCTATCAGAAATATATTTCACATATATCTTTTATGTTATATTTTCTGTTTTATGAGTTAAAACATATTTCACTATGTGGTTTATTTTCAAAGCTTTTTTTTTTAAAAATGTGTCATCCATGTATAAATTAGGAGTCTGTATTTTATTGAAATGGTTATTTCAAAATCATTAACTTCCTATAATAGTATTTTGTTTGCTGTTATTGTTAAGTGCCCTCGAGTCAGTTTTGATTAACAGTGAACTTATAATAGGGTTTCCAAGGAGTAGCTGGTGGGTTTGGATGGCTGACTTTGTGATTAGCAGTCCAGTGTTTATCCTACAACGCTACATACCAGGGCTCCCTCTCCTTTGTAGATAGTATCTATTCATTCCCTACTGAGATAAGTCTACAATAATATATTTCATTTATTTTTGCATATAATTCTCTCTATCCTATTACCTGATCTATTTTTTATTATTACTGTTGACTTTTCTATTTTCAAATGTTCTTATATCTCTACTACTGAATTTGTCCATTTTAAATGGTATCTTTTGACCTAAGTGGAAAAATGCAAAAGAGATAAAGAATTCAAAATTTGACTTACAAAAGGGTAAAAAATATAACACAGTTGGAACAATTAGTAAGAGATTGGTCAAGGGAATGACAGAACACTAATTTGATAACCTTAAAAACTGTATAAAAGATGAAGGACTAGAAATATTTTCCTCTGTGGCTTTAGAGAACATACTACTATGCCCTATGGAATCAAAGGTGGAAACTAGACACGAAGAAAAACTGTCAAGTGTCATATAAGGTCATTTCTAACATTCCCTTTTCAAACTGATAGTCCTAGGGCTTCCCTATCAGAATACCACATCACCAATTCACTTCCCAAGACAGCCAGAGAGAACGACAATAAAAAGTAATACCCACCTCTCCCTCTTCTGACATTAGACAACTCCTCATTTTCTCCACTCCGCTTCTCCTGGTGTGGCGCTCCACTATTGCTTCTGCCATCTTCTCCTCCATGCTTCACTTCACCTTTCCCTTCGACTGCTACCACCTGCACATGCCCAGTGCTGCCGTTTACAGGAATGACTTGAACATCTTCAGGAAAACCAGAATGTTGCAAAGGCTGACTGGAATCACCACTCAAGTAATATCGAAATGGTCTATTGCTTGAAGAAAAGTTGTCTGAAGACTACAAATTAATAACAAAAACTTAGTTAACAGCTATTAAAATAAACACAATGTTTTCATATTAATAGAAGAAATATTGTTTTTCTAACAATGGTTTCTATGTTATTATAGGTGTTTTTTTTTTCTTCTAGAAACTTTCTCCATATCCAGGAAGAAGGGGGCTAAGAATGATATATCCATGTGTAAAAAATTAAAATGTTTGATAATAAATTTTTTTTAGTGAGTTAATCATACATCCAAGAAACACTGAAATGCCACTCCTATCCTAGTTACTATGCTAACACCCTAGGAGTACTATGAGTAAAGATAAAATCCAGGTCTGCAAGAACCTTACAGTCTTAGTAAGGGAGTCAGGGAAGTAAAATTATTACAAAGTAGTTTGACAAGTGTTATAAAAAAGATGTGAAAGGGTGCTATAGGAGCTCACAGGAGAGATATCTAACCCATACTGGGGTGAAACTCAAAAACCGAAACCCAGTGTCACTGAGTCAAATCTCAGAGACACTAAGACAGAGTAGAACTGCTCCTTAGGGTTCCTGAGTCTATAAATCTGTACAGGAGCAGACAACCTCATCTTTCTCCTAAGGAGCGTTTGGTGGATTTGAACCACCAAGCTGTACTTAGCAGCTAGTGCACAATCCACTGCACCACCAGGGCTCCTTTTATCCTGGGATTAGTTGGGGCTTAATCAGGATAGACTTCCCTGAAGAAATGATACGAACTCAGACATGAGAACAAAAGAGTGTAAGCTAAATCAAAGATGTAGAAAAAAATGACAGCATGTATCAATAAAGTAGGAGAGAAATAAAGGGAAAGATCAATTTGAGGACAACTGGGATTATAAAGGCAAAAGGACTTGAAAACTGAATGTGGGGAATAAAAGAAAGAAAACACTCCAGGTTTCTGGGCTAGGTGGTTGTGTGATACTCACCAAGATAATAAATATGGAAGAGAGATTTCAGGGGAACACAAAGAAACAATGGTATATTTACAGATAAGTAAAAACAGAGGTTACTAGGGCAGTTAGAATATAGAAAAGAGATACAGTTTGTTGATATCACATTAAGAGTCATCAGCATGTGCAATGATTAAAAACAAGTGAGGGTCAATTGTAAAGGTAGAAATTTTGTAACAAAAACAGGGGAGTAGTTAAATTTATAGTCCAGAAACAGAGGACCCTAGGACCATCAAGGGAGAAAAGCACAAGCGGAATGTGGGACCTTATCCAGAGAAGCAGCGACACCAGAGATGGAGGCAGAGATGGGGTCATGAAGAGGGGGGAGCGGCTGAGGACTCTAGATTCATGGGAAGAGAAGGACTGAGAGCTGGCAGCCAGGAGGCAGACTTGCAGAATGTGCCCTTTGGTGGTTAAAATTATATATGCCTGAGTGTTTTTTTTTTGTTTTTTTTTTTTAAAGGAGCTAAAATAGAAACACTGTTAACTGATGGTACATGGAGGGGATTATAACCATTGTAATGAAACAAAGTATATGATTGGTTGAATGTAAAAACTGATGATCTGTCCTGTAAACTTTCACTCAATTCACAATAAAAACTTCAAAGAAAAACAAAAACAAGGGAGGGTAACTAAAGTTATATGCGAAATTTAAGGGGCTAGAGAACAAGAGAAACTCACAAAGAAGCTTACAAAGGGCCCAAGAGGTGAAGAAGAAACCCTTAAAAGGATGGTGTAACGGAAGAAAGGAGTCCTGGTGTGGCACTGTGGGTTAATGCGCTGGACTGTAATGTCAATTTGAACAGCAAGATTGGTGGTTCAACCTCACCAGCTGCTCCTTGGAAACCCTAGACAGGGTCGCCATGGGTTGGAACCGACTCAACGGCATTTAACAGCAACAATGGAGGAAAAGGAAATATTATTTAGTGATGTAAAGAAGTCAAGTGAGATAGAAAAATGCAAAGCATCCAATCAAATTAGCAAGGGCCTGGTGACATGTACAGCAGAGGGGTGACTGGAGTGAATCAATTCAAACAAGAAGGCTGGCCATGAAGCGAACAAAGAAGATAAAACAGTAGTTAGAAGATACCACAAGATTTAGAAAATATATTCTTGAAAGGACAGAAGTGATATGAACATGTTTATAGGTTGAGAAGAACCAGGAGAAAATAGTTGGGAATAGATCTTGAGAATATAAAACATGAAAATCCATAACAGGTGAGAGGAAATATGATACAGAGCAAAGGTAGAGAAACTGGCCTTAGATGGGAAGAAGCCCGTATATCTCACACTGAGATAGGAAGAAAAGTAGCAATGGCTGGATGGGTACAGCTTATAGTCAGTAAGTTAAGAGTCAGTTAGAGTAGAGAGCTAATAAAGGGCAAAATGGGACTACTATCAGGAGGTAGCCCACACCATAAATTCTGATAGAATTTTAGTTTCTTATGGTTTAGGTAGGTGCTACTCAAAGAGTGGCCAGCAGATGAGGAACATCAGTGTCAATAGACAACTTGTTAATAATGCAAATTCATAGATCATACCCCAGACCTGGGAGTTCTGGTGGGACGCTGTGGGTTAACATGCAGGACTGCAAAGTCTACTTGAACTGCAAGCTCACCAGTTGCTCCTTGGATACCCTAAACAGGGTCACTGTGGGTCAGAACCGACTCGATGACATTTAGCAACGACAACAACCCCAGACCTAGAGTCCTGGTGTGGCACCGTAGGATAAGCATTGAACCAAAACACAGGTTTGAACCACAAGGTTGGCGGTTCACATTCACCAGTTGCTCCTCAGAAATCCTATACAGGGTCGGTATGAGTTGGAACTGACTCAACAACACTTAACAACTCCAGACCTACTAAATCGGAAACTCTGGGATTACAGCAAAGGAATCTATGTTACTACAGAGTACTCAAGTGATTCTTAAGCACATTAAAGTTTAAAGAATACTGCTAATAGGTAAGAAAGATATGTAAGGGGGAAAAAAAGGAAAAAACTAAATTTTTGTCTCATCCTTTATCTTGAAAATCTCAGTCACCTGGCATAATATCAACCCAGCAATCTGTATTGATATATATGCTGGTTTGAAATGATACCAGAAGCAACATACGGGTCTCAAGGTCAATAAAATAATATAGATGTTATAGGTACCTAACACACTATATATTGTTATTGTTAGTTGCCATCAAGTTGGTACCAACCCATAGCAACCTTATGCACAGCAGAACGAAACACTGCCCGATCCTGGGCCAACCTCACTACTATTGCCACTGGAGTCCATCGATGCTGCCACTTGGCCAATCCATCTTGTTGGGGTCTTCCTCTTTTTCTCTGACTCTCCACCTTACCAAACATGATATTCTTCTCGTGACTGGTCCCTCCTGACAATATGTCCAAAGTATGAGACACAAAGTTTGGCAATCTTGGCCTCCAAAAAGCACTCTGGCTGCACTTCTTCCAAAATGGATCTATTGGTTCTTTTGGCAGCCTATGGCACCTTCAATATTCTCCTCCAACATCATAACTCAAAAGCGTCAATTCTTCTATGGTCTTCCTTATTCACTGTCCAGCTTTCACATGCATATGAGGTTATTGAAAATGCCATGGCTTGGGTCAGGCGCACCTTAGTCCTCAAGCTGACATCTTTGCTCTTCAACACTTAAAAAGGTCTCGTGTAGCAGATTTGCCTAACGCAATACATCGTTTGATTTCTTGACTGCTGCTTTCGTGAGTGTTGATACTTGATCCAAGAAGAATGAAGTCGTTGACAACTTCAATCTTTTCTCCGTTGATAACAATGTTGCTTATTGGTCCAGTGGTGAGGAATTTTGTTTTCTTGACATTGAGATGTAATCCATACTGCAGGCTGTGCTCTTTGATCTTCATCAGTAAGTATTTTAAGTCCTCTTCACTTTCAGCAAGCAAGGTTGTATCATCTGCATATTGCAGATTGTTAATGAGTCTTCTTCCAATCCTGATGCCACGTTTTTCTTCATAGAACCCAGCTTCTCAGATTATTTGCTCAGCATATAGGTTGAATAAGTATGGTGAAAGAATACAACCTTGTCACATACCTTTTTTTATTTTAAACCATTCAGTGCTCCCATGTTCTGTTCAAACAACTGCTTCTGGGTCCAGGTACAGATTCTTTATGAGCACAATTAAGAGTTTTAACATACTTAGCAATGTTGTCCATAGCTTGTCATGATCCACACAATCGAAAGCCTTTGTGTAGTCAATAAAGCACAGGTAAACATCTTTCTGATATTCTCTGCTTTCAGCCAAGATCCATTGGACATCAGCAATGATATCTCTCGTTCCACAGCCTCTTCTGAATCCAGCTTGAACCTCTGGAAGTTTTCTTGTCAATGTATGATTGTAGCCATCTCTGTATTACCTTTAGCAAAACTTCACTCGCATGGGATATCAAAGAGATTGTCCGATGATTTCCACTTTTCGTTGGGTCACCTTTCTTTGGAATGGGCACAAATATGGATCTCTTCCAATCAGTTGGCCAGATAGTTGTCTTCCAAATTTCACTCAATGAGTGAGTGCCTCCTGTGCCACCTCAATTTCTTGAAAGATTTCAATTTTTATTCCATCAATTCCTGCTGCCTTGTTCTTTGCCAATTCCTCCAATGCACCTTGGACTTCTTCCTTCAGTATTATTGGCCCTTGATCATATGCTACCTCTTGAAATGGTTGAACATTAACCATTTCCTTTTGGTACAGTGACTCTGTGTATTCCTTCCATCTTCTCTTGATGCTTTCGGCATCATTAAATAATTTGCCCAGAGAATCTTTCAATAACGAGAGTCGAGGCTTGAATTTTTTTCTTCAGTTCCCCCAGCTTGAGAAATGCTGAGCGTGTTCTTCCTTTTTGTTTTTCTGATTCCAGATCTTTGCACATTTTGTTGTAATAAAAACACTATATAAAACACTATATCTAAGGGAGCTTCAAAAAGTTTGTGGAAAATCCCATTATCTTTCAATTTCATTTTTTGACAAAATTTGTGAAAGACCCTAGTATACTAGAGTAAAT